AAACTTTTTAATGAATTTCATGAAAGCTCTTCTCCCACTTGACCGTGGTCAACCTGCCAAAAAAACCCTTTCCAGCTCACAATCCTCTGCTTACAAAAGAGCTTTTTTTGTTGTTGTTTCCTTTTTAAATCGGCATGAAATGAAAATTCCCTCAGTCTGTTTTCAAAAAGCACATTATAGATCTTGTAGTGCACAATTCATCCATGCATACAGTACATCTCATTTTCAATTAGTTCCTTTGACTCACTCTGCCTCCCATAGCAAAGCTAGCAAGCATGGTGTTTATGTATTTTAGCACAAATGAAGTTGATTAGATTACGCATTTGCTCATTTGACTTTTCTAGGATCTTTTCATGAAGCTAAATAAATGCTTTTATCCAATTTTTTATTTGCTTGTTTATTTTACAGGGACAATACACTTGACATTGTTATACAAAGATAACCGATGTTGTGTACATAGGGCATATAGCATAAAGCTAATTTGCAGCCCTCGTCCCTGGTTAGGCTTTACATAAAAAAAAATAATAATAAAAAATAGTTTATGTATTGCTTGATAGAGTTAATAAAGCTTCATTTGTAGAATAATGTCTGTTTTGAACAGCCAAACAAAAGATCTACACTGCAAAAACAGCTTTTCTTACCTAGCTTTTTAAAATCTTTTTTTTTATCTAAATATTCTTAAATCAAGAAGCGTTTTCTAGTCACGCAAAACATATTGGGCCCTATCATACACCCGGCGCAGTGTGGCGCAAGGCGCGGCGCAGTAGTCTTTTGGTAGTTTCAGCTTGGCGCAAGAGTCGTTTTGAGGCGTTGCGCTGCGCTGTTTAAATAGCAAATGCATTAGCGCTCATTTGTGCGCCCATAGGCGTTCTGGTCTAAAAAGGAAGGCGTTCTGAGGCGGACCGCTGGCGCGTCGCTATTTTGACAAACTTTAATAGATTTTTCATTAGACCAAAACTAACCCGGTCTAAACTCCGGCGCAGAGTTGCGCCTCGCTTACACACTGCTTAATACGCACAAGAGAGCAATAGGCAAATATCTTTACATATGAAAAAATGTAAATATTAAGGATATATATAGGATATAATAAGAATAGATATAGAATATAAATATAAAGGATTAAAATATTACAAAACATATTATTTTCTAGCCTACATAAATATGAAAAATCACTGCTTTTATGCCTTCTTCATCTCGGGAGGCTTTTTCAGTTCATTCATAACAATTTGCTTTTGTATAATGTTATTATTATTAGGAGTATTATTTATTATATCCATATTTATATTTGTTTTATTAAAAACAAGCTCAGATTTGCCCACCTGTCAGGTTTCAGACCATATGGGGCACAGCATGTGTTTTAGGATATAACTCAGGTTTTTGAGCACATTTTGCTATTATTATTATTCATTTATTCGTTTGCTGGAAATTAGAACTGAATTTAGAAATAGTTTTGAAACGAATATTTGCGTTTAACAAACAAAAGTATTTATTTATAGAATAATTGATGTCTGTGCGTAAAGGTTTCCCTATCCAAGAGCGAAAGTGATCCATTATCTCTCATTCTCACGCAGTAGATGCTCTGTTTAACAGTTTTCTGTTAAAAAACTGTGAACTGTTTGCTTGTGAAATGCTCATTTTTTCCACTTAGACTTACTTTGCATCCTGTAAATAGCGAATGCGCTCTTGGCGCGACGCAGGTGACTCTTAAAGGCAATGGGAGATGAGACTCTAATTGGTTTATTCTCAAAACACACCTATAACTCATTAAGAAAATAAACTCAATCCTTTTAGACCATGTGCCGAAGCGCATGGCAGATTTCCTGTCCTTAAATTAGCAAAAACGCGTCCTGACCGTCAAACTAGAGCTTATTGTCTTGTTTTAGGAAAAAATATGCCAAAATAAAGCGTGTTTTTCCTTAAAGCAAGCTAAATAATCTAGATAGTCTGATTTGATGTTTTTGAACAGTCAGACAAAAGGTTTTCTTAATTAGATTTTTTTGTCTTGTTTCTAGTCTAAATATCTAAAAAACCTTAATCAAGAAGCATTTTCTAGATGAGAAAACATTTTAAGAAAGTAAATGCCAAAATGAAGTGAGTTTTTCTTAAAACAAGCAAAATAATCTGCCATTGTGGATTTTGCCTAACCCCATTGGCAGATTTTATTGCTTGTTTTAAGGAAAAACTTGCTTAGTTTTGGCAAATAATTTCTTAAAACAAGACTAGAAAATGGAACACCAGCTCATTGTGAATACTTACCCCCGTATACATTTCTGGAGTGTGAGAATTATGTAGCCAGATCTATGTATAGCTGAATTTTGTCTTTAAAGCAAACGCTACGGGGGTGGCATGATGCTGCTGACGGCTTCTGGGTCAATCTGTGCTATTGAAAACACTATTGGTTGTGTTTATGGAAGGGTCTAGGGATGGAAGATCGGTCATTAAGTCAGTCGAAAGCGGTCTCTGATGAATTTACAGGAGAACAGCAGGCGCAAATGGCACTGACGAGATATTTGTGATCTGAAGAAGCATACACAGCGGCATCTTTGCGAAAACAAAAACTGGAAAAAAACATAGCTCCTGGGACATTTTTGGGGCTCTCCAGAAATGTATACAGGGGTACGTATCCATAATGAGCCTCAATTGGGGAAATCCTTCTTGACTTATATTTTTAATTTGTTTATTTTCTATAATTAGTTTCGTTCTTTATTTATATGCAAACACTGACAAATAGAGCTGGGCGATTAGGCCTCAAATCAAAATCTGAATTAACTTAACATTTGACCTAGATTATGATTAATGAATGATTATTTTATTTATTTTATTATTTAATTCACGGACAAGTTCTGTACAGTAAATCAGCTCACATATTACAAGTTAGAGATTTCTGAATGAATGGTGCATTACTTGATTTTAAAATAATTGAAGTCAACACACTACCTACTATCTATGATTGTTGAACAACTAAAATTGAAACACACATTGCCTAAAACCAACAAAAAAAAAGTGAAAATAGCTCGCACTTCAATTTTGGAAACAAAATAATTTATTTTCAATGTTTTTCATATTAAAATTAGAAAATAAGCAGCATCTCTTCTAAATAAAATAATATTCTAAAAAGTGCATTTCTTGCATCTTCTGTAAACAAATATTTTAATGTAAATAAAAATTTTAATGTGACAGAAAATTTGCGGTCTCAAGGAATCTCTGGCGCAGCTTCCAATCATTGTCAATGTAGTAAAAAGTAAGGCTCAAGAATAGGTCCATCGTCCTACTTGACCAGAGATCAGATGTGGCTGCAAAGTGCCCGCAGAAGTATAAATCAGCCTTGAAAAAAGGTTTAACAAAGCGGGATTATGTGACTCTACATGCAGTAGGGAAAGTAAATTCAAAAAAATCGATCTGGAAAAATTTGTTTGGTTGTAGGTTCTGAATGTCGATTTCTATTACTTTTCGATTAATCGCCCATGCCCTACAGACAAATATCACTGTTTGTTTGATTTAAAATTTTCCACCTGAAAATTATTTTTTTAAGTGTTTAAAATAAGCAAAACAAAATCTAGAATTTCTTATTTATGATTGAAGCCAACATAGAAAAACAATTCTAGCATTTTGTGGGACATTGGTCTGATTTTTGAGGCTGAAAATCACCAAGTTAGTTGTGGTGGATATTCCCAAAATTTGAAACAAATTTTCTTGTGTTGTTTTTATTGGAAAAATACACACTGTAAAAAAATAAATGACAAAAGTCTAGACAACAAACAAATTTATGTTGCTTTAACTTACTTTAATGAGGTTATCAGGTTCTGTAAGTTATACAAAGTTTGACTTAACATTTTTAGTCTTTTTGACTGATGTTTAGATGAAGTTTAGATGACTAGAAAAGTTAAATTGGTTCAACTAAAAAAAATAAGGCACCAATAATATTTTTGTAGTTCACAGAGACAAAATAACAGCTTTTTTAAAAAATAGTTTAATATGAAGTACAACATGGTAAATAAAAGGCTTGATATGGCTTCAAGCTTGATTTGGTGATTCAAGTGATTGGTGATCGGCCCAAAAAATAATCGGATCGGAGCACCTCTACTATATATACAGTCCTAAGCACTTCACCAGCTTTGTTGGCCTAAGACTTTTGCACAATCTATAATCAATCAGACTCTTTATTAAAACAAATAAAAAACAAAGGACACATGAACAAAAAACCAACAACTGCACAACATTTCCTCTTCAAGCAAGACTCTATGCTTAATGTGGCCTTCCTTGGCACCAAGCACAGCTTAAACTGTTTTGTTCTAATTGTCCTGACGTTTTCTGATATCATATGCTGTGTAATATCAGGCTTCTTTTAGCATTTCCAGAGCTCTTCTTTAGGTTAAGGGTGTCATATATAATTTTTTTTTATGCAGGTGATCTCTATAATGTTCAGGTCTGGACCCTGTGGAGGCCATTTCATGACTCTCTGTCTTTCATCAGCTGTTTTCTTTCTCCAAACAGGATTTCATTGCAGTTTGCGGATCATTATCATGCTGAAAATGAACACTATTACCACTGAAGTTCTTTCCAGAAGGAATAGCAAAATCTGTACTTTTCAACATTCACAATTCAGACAATATTACTAACAACAGTGTTAAAGATGCAGCTCAAACCATTCAAAATGCAGCTCAAACTGAACAGCCTCTCTCCAACACATCCATCTTTCACATGTCCTAAAAAAATAAACCAAAATAATTCAAACTGTAACCTTATCTAACTCCTTTCCTAACAAGCCAGTCACAAATTAAACAATAATTTATCCACCATGTATAAATTACAATAATAAAAAAAATTGACTAAAATATTACACTTTTGACTGGTCTTGTGGTAAACAGTTGGCCTAAAACTTTTGCAGAGTACTATATATATATATATATATATATATATATATATATATATATATATATATATATATATATACACGTGTGTGTGTGTGTGTGTGTGTGTGTATACAACCAAACACTCACCATAAACGATGACTGTTGCTGTGGTGCTGCGTCTCTTAGCGACGATGTTCTTGGCAACGCAGGTGTAGTTTGCAGTGTCAGACAGTCGAGCCTGTTTAATGATCAGGTTATGATCGATGGTGATGTAGAAATTGCGATCGTCCGCAGGGTCAATAATCTCCTCGTTCTTTAGCCATTCCACCTGCGATTAAACAGAAGTAGAGAAAAGACTCAAGACATTAGTACAATCTATAAAATCACCAGGACATCCTCATGCAGTCCCTGCCCATGCAAAACAGTCAAATTATCAAACGTTTTAATTAGCTTCAAAGCGACTCCTCGGGGCAACAGTGACTCAGAGCTGCAGTAATCTGGAAAAACCATACAGCAAACGCTTTACAAAGAGAACATTGCGGAGACATTAAGAGGAAACTGCAAGCAGGTTAGAGACTTGTGGGATATCTTCAGACACAGTGTTTAGATGTAGAAGTTGTGGCTTGCTAATACTGAGAATCAGGAGATGGAAAATAAGGTTATTGAACAACGCTTAGATAAACCAAAAATAAAACCAAAAATGAAGTTCAACCAAAAATAAAAAAATCAGCCATCATTTCATCATTCCAGTGCTGTATGCACTTGTTTTTTAGGATGCTTTACTAAAATATATTTGAGCATATACATCAGATTAGAAGTATAAAAGCCAAAACTGGAACTATTCTAACCAAAAAACTCAAGATCAGTCAAAAAAAAAAAATATAGTAAAAAATAGTAATTTTTCCGCATTTTAAAAAACAATAGTTTAAATAAACGATTTCTAATAGCTAATTTCCTTTGTCTTTGCCATGACATACTATTTTACTCTACTGCAAGATACTAGTGCTCAGATAAAAGTGCAATTTTAAAGCTTTACCAGATTAATTAGGTTAATTAGGCATATAACTGGATGACAGTGGTTTGTTCTGTATCCAATCAAATAAAATAATTTCAGATTTTCTTTTCTGTGCTGTGTTAAACATCACTTGGGAAATATTTGAAAAATAATTGTAAAAATTTTAAGGGAGGGGTAATAATGTTGCCAACTATAAAGGGTAAAAATATTTTTCTTTAAAGACACGTTATACCATTTTGGTTTCTGTTGGTTTCTGTACCATTTAGTTCTGTAAAATTTCACAAAAAGTGAGGCAAAAAATATTCAGGACAAGTAAAGGTGTCAGGGCGAAGCAGTGGCGCAGTATGGTAGTGCTGTCGCCTCAAAGCAAGAAGGTCGCTGGTTTGAGCCTTGGCTCAGTTGGCGTTTCTGTGTGGAGTTTGCATGTTCTCCCTGCGTTCGCATGGGTTTCCTCCGGGTGCTCCGGTTCCCCCCACAGTCCAAAGACATGCGGTACAGGTGAATTGGGTAGGCTAAATTGTCCGTAGTGTGTGTGTGAATGTGTGTGTGTGGATGTTTCCTAGAGATGGGTTGCGGCTGGAAGGGCATCTGCTGCTTAAAAACTTGCTGGATAAGTTGGCGGTTCATTCCGCTGTGGAGACCCTGGATTAATAAAGGGACTAAGCTGACAAGACAATGAATGAATGAATGAATAAATGAAGTAAAGGTGTCAAATAAAAGTTTGTTACACAAGATTTGGAAATAAAATAGTGAAAAGGGAAGCGTGTAATAAAAATAAAATAACATCAAATAGCCGGGGGTCATTTCAGTGACTGACAATTCATAGGTGAGCCATTTTAACAATCAAGAACAAGCAAAAGTGATGCAATTGGTGCATCTTAGGACAGCAGTTTATAATTTAGTTTATATATGTTTATAATTCAAGCCTTACCTGTCACAAATCAACAAATCAGCATGTTTTTTTCTTCACAACTGGTCAAATATATCTGTGGCTGTTTAAATTAGTAATAATAATTATTATTATTTTTATGTTCCAATCAGTTGTTGCTTTACTAAAAGTTTAATAGCAGATATAGTTTGGGTAACTTTACTGGCAATTGTTCCTCTCAATACCCGTACCTTTTTGTAAAACTATAACAAAGAGTGGAAAAGTGTGTGTATATATATATATATATATATATATATATATATATATATATATATATATATATATATATATATATATATATATATATATTTTTTTTATATTCATATATGTATATATTAGGGCTGTAAAAATTATCGCTTTAACCCCCTTCAGACCCTGCGTACATTACAATGGAAATCACGACATCCCATTTTTCTGTAATTTGGAACATAATTCAGGTCTGAAGGGGTTAACCCACGTGATTATTTTGAAATATTTAACGCGTTAAAAAAATAATGTAAATAACGCAGTTGCAGTTTTTTTTATTTTTATTTCTTGTTGTGGTCGACTTGTGTTCAGGGATGGTGCGTGCATAGAAGCGACCTAGGCGGCCCCCTTTGGCAGCAGAACAGTGAGCGAATCCCCTGGTCTTCACTTTCATCAGCTACACCAACCCTCTCCCTCATGGTCCTCGCTTTCCTTCGCTTTTCTGTAAACAGGTCACTTTCTTTTTCACTTTCGGGTTAAGGGCAGCAAGATTGCCATTTGCCAAGAGCGCCAGTTCAGCTTGCTCTGGCCCTGCATGTGTTTAATGTGCAAAGAAATTTGGATAGGACCAAGGACACACTTTTAGCAGGAAAGTTTTAGTATAAAACAATTAATGTGGCATTACCAGGCTATCCAGCATTTCCTCAAGAGTTTCATGCAATTTTGCTGCTTACATGGTAGACTCTTAATCAGTGTTGTCTTAATCATAAAAGCAGAGTATTGGTGTCCATGTAAATGTACTGTAGTGAAAGTGGCAGATAAAGTTGTCAAAGACAGCCCTATTCTCTGCCTTTAAGCTGCGTCCAGCCCTCACATTTCACCCATTTGTAAAGCGTCTATTTCATGTTCCTTTGTCAGAATCTTTGCTTGTAAAATAAAGCCATACTTTAGAATGCTTAGTTTAAGCAAATTTGATGAACGTGATTATGCGTGTTGATGAATCTGAAGGGATTCCTCCCTCACTCAATGGGTTGTGCGCGTTGTGTGTGTGTGTGTGTGTGTGTGTGTGTGTGTGTGTGTGTGTGTATATATATATATATATATATATATATATATATATATATATATATACACATACATATGTATGAAGAGTTCAGATGCAAAACCCTCTAAATCAGGGGTCACAAACATGGTGCCCCGTGGGCACCAGGTAGGCCGACAGGTTCACATGAGTTGCCCGTAGGCCTGTTCTAAAAATAGCTCACCATAGCACCACATTTGAGTAAGCTGCATCTAATATTTGTATAAATATTCTTTTTAAATCACACTTGCATTGGTGTAAATTTGAAAATTACTTTAAGTTATGTATTAAAAAAAAACAACTTCAAAAACAATTTCAGACAAATGAAGTGTTGCATATTGATATTTATCTAACTTGTTAAATCATTGTTGACAACTACTGTGAGAAATCATTAACATGATCAATGTCTTCACATAGATGATTATTATTAAATATTAATAACAACATATAATTAAAAGTAAATTAAGAAAATGTGTTTTTTAATAACTGGTAGCCCTTCACACTAATCGGTACCCAAGAAGTAGCTCTCAGTTTCCAAAAGGTTGGTGACCCCTGCTCTAAATCTATCAGACCTCTTTTCTTGTAAATGAGCATTTTCTATCAGGCTCCTCTGAGATTAGGTTCAAACATTTCATTCACGTTCCACAAATGGCACAACAATGATAGTGATTCAAAAACATTGGAAGGGTTGAATCTTGATATATTTTTGACTGATGTCAATTCCAATGTAAAATATATAATAGAGAAGGAGGGCGGGCCGGCAGTTTAAGACCCCTGCTTTATTAAAATACACTTATTTTGACTTAAAGTATCTTAAATATTACAGTAAGTGATGATACTATATTATATTATATTTAGTATAATAAAAATAAAAGTCTTTCTGATAAATGTGTAAAAATTTGAATGACAGTGCAAAAAAATATGTATAAAGATATACAATGACACTAAGTATTTTTGGTCCTGCACTGTGTGTGTCACCAAACAATTCTTGTTCTAAATATGCCTGACAAGATTTTTTATTTATTTTTGCTATATAAACCTCTTTTCATCTCTGACCCATATACGCTATAATTCCACGCTATACCTGTGTGTCATCTTCAACAAATAATTGCTTCTGGGATTGCTTCATCTATGAAAGATGGATGTAATATGCGGCCAAAATGAGCTTTCTTACAGGGCCACATCATTACGCTGCCTACAGTTTGGAACAGGCAAGTCAATGATGCTTTAAAATGCTGCCTAGTTAGGCGGCTCACTAGGTTACACATTTCTCCACATACAGAAATCGAGCCATCAAGGCAAATGATACAAGCTCTTAGCATAAATGTGTGTTTGTGTGCGAGTAAATGTGTTTGAGTGTGTGTAGTCCTGGTATTCATAACATTGTGGGGGATCAGCATACACTCAGACAACTATTTTTGCTGCTTGTTCAAGCTACTTAATTAAAATGAGCTGAAATAACACAATTCTTCAGATTCTTTGGGACAACTTAATTGTTTTAGGTTTAGTCCACTTTCCAGGTTGAGTACATAATATACAGTCTGTACAGTATAAACATTACTACAGCAATAGGGAGACCCCATACAACATGAAAACCCAAGTGTGTGTATGCATGAATATGTGTGCGTGTTTCACAGCGGTGAACCTGGAGGCTGCTGCGTGCTCGTCTCAAGGGAATCGGGTAAAAATATCACCCTCTCATTGGCTCAGCAGGGGGGAAAACTCAGCCAATCAGCTGCTTTCGCTCTCCAGCTGTGACAAAAACACTTCCCTATGCATTTTATCTCATTACATCTAGCAAAGGTAACCCGAGTCCCAGCTGTCAAACTCAGATTACTGTATTCGCTCCTATTGTCACCTTAACACACATCCTTTTGCAATGCCATGATAGGGAAACGAGCCCCTCATATATATACATGCTCGAAAAAAATTTGGAACTATTTTGATTTAAATTTGGGTTAAATATGGACAAACCCAACAGTGGGGTTGAAGCTGGATAATAAAATTATTTAAAAAATAAAAAAAATGTAACCCAGAGGTTGGGTCTGTCCTTATTTTACTTATTTTACTCAAATTTTAAAGTGAAAATTTTATATATTTAATCTATTTGACTAAGAAAAACTTGGTGTACTAAGATAATGAATACTAAAAGGTAAAATAATAATACAAAAAAAAGAAAAAAAAAACATAGAAAAAAATAATTATAATTTATAAAACTATTTTTGTTATAAATTAATAAATGTTAAAAAAGTTAATATATTTTCTAATAAATATAACTATTTT